TGGGGGCGGCGGGTCACAGCACTGCTGCCCCACATGCTGCCATATGGCCAGCAGAGCGCACACTGTCGCTGCCGCTGGTCTTCATTGGCCGCCGCCGCCGCTGCCGCACCCGCCACATGCTGAAAAACCAAAGGATGCAGGAAGGCCGCTTTGACTTTTGTTTCATTTCTCAAGCGTGCCAAAAATCAGTCGTTATGGGTCATGTTGTTTCGACATGAGCCTTTTTTGAAAAACTGCGACCTGAACAGCTTTCGAGATGGCAAATTGTTTGGGATTTCAGAAGATTTTTACGGCAGCGGTCGAACCCCATTTCCATATTCACAAGCAAAAGAGGAGCAACTTGCGGTACGATGACCATTTGAAAAGTAATTCATTGTGAATCATTCATCCGATATGCGACACTTTGCACCTCGACGTGGAGGAAACATTTTGGGGTGTTCTCCATTCAACAACTTTTAGGAAGGGAAATGTTGTTATGATGTCATGAGTTCATTTGCATCTTTGCATTTGAAAATGTGCTGCACTCGATCAAACAAATGAATGAGCAGCAATGTCATTTCCAGGATATGCTGCGGGCCGCTTAAAACTGGACAGCGGGCCACAAATGGCCCACGGGCCATAGTGTAGACACCCCTGGATTCAATCAAGACACAGATTTAAGACACAGTAGAGTGCAGGGAGGGGGGCGCAGAGCGGGAGAGAGAGAAAGAGAGAGAGGTCGGGGAGAGCACCAACTTGCAGAACTTGCCCATGAGATGACAGTCGTCGAATGTTTGCTTCGGTGCGTGTCAAAGGACGTCGAGCCCCAGATTCAGACGGCGCATTTGTATTTGATCGGGTCCTCGGCCCCTTCCTGCCTCACACAACACCTACCCGCTCAATAGGTTGAGTTGGACAGAAAGAAGTCTCGGTCCGGCCCGCCTTGTCATCATTCAATGGCTTGCCGTGGGAATTCAGAGAGTGCACAAACTTTTTCCACTTGCAAAGGCTTGCCGGTAGTGAGTTTCTTTTTTCTCTTTCATTTTGAGTGGGGTTGCCTTGCTCAAGGGCACCTCAACCCGGAGGACAATCAAACCTGTGCTCATGAGGTCACGGCCACATTTCAGCCTCCTCCTCAGCGCTCCTTTTCCCTCGTGACTTGATTCTACTTTTTGTGACTTGACTTTCCATTTCTATGAATTGAGATGTTTTTCTTTTGGGGCTGAACTTTTTCAGGAGGAGGCGCATTCGCCCCCCCCCCAAAAAAAAAAAAAAACAGACAACGAGAAGGCTTGAGTGAAAGTGAAAGTGGAGGAGTGAGTGGGGAGAAGAGGCGAGCTCGGGCAGCCCCCCGTCAGTGTCCTGACAATGGCGCTGAATGGATGCGCAGCGCGGTCAGCGGGGCGGTCAAAGCAAGCCGCCTCCTCCTCCTCCTCCTTCTTCTCCTCTTCAAAGGAAGGAGAGAGAGAGAGAGAGAGAGAGAGAGAGAGCCGTGCGTCAGCGTCCTAACAAGGCGTTGTGAATAGCAAAGCGGCTTTTGGGCGGCCGGCCGTATAAAAAGCCGGTGACACCTCGCAGGGGCAGCACAAGAGGCGGGAAGACAAGAAACGGAGCCGCTGCGCAGGTGGGCAACGAGAGAGAAAGAGAGAGAGAGAGAGAGAGAGAGAGAGAGAGAGGGAGGGAGGAAGCCTCGGAGGCCATAAAATGAATTCCGACTCCAGCCCGAGCAGCAGAGCCTCATCCCCGGACATGGATGCCATGTTCCTCCGAGAGCACCTCCCCAGCCACCACTTCCACCACCTGCACCCGCACTTCAGCCACCTGCACCAGCACCAGCACCAGCACCACCACCCGGTCTCCTCGTCCACGCAGGCCGGCAAGATGTCCGAGTCCAAATCGGCCTCGTCCTCGTCGTCGGTAGAGAGCAGCAGCAGCAGCGGCGGCGGCGGCGGCGGCGGCGGCGGCAACAACAAGTTGAAGCTGAAGAAGCAGGTGACCGAGGAGGAGATGTACCAGCTGCGGCTCAAGATCAACGGCCGCGAGCGCAAACGCATGCACGACCTCAACCTGGCCATGGACGGCCTGCGCGAAGTCATGCCCTACGCGCACGGGCCGTCCGTGCGCAAACTGTCCAAGATCGCCACGCTGCTGCTGGCCCGCAACTACATCCTCATGCTCAACAGCTCGCTGGACGAGATGAAGCGGCTGGTGGGGGAGATCTACGGCGGCCAGCACTCGGCCTTCCACTGCGGCGGCGGCGGCGCCGCGGCGCACCCGGGGGCC